AAGTAGGGACTACTTTGAGGCCAAAGTATATACTATTTGGGCACATGGACCCTTAGGGATTGTAAAGCCCCAACTATTTGGGTAGTTGTCTATATTCGGGTCCCTTTTTGGGTCCTTTTTGTAAGGGTGCCGGACTATTTTGGGGACCTAAAAAGGGACCCGAATTCAGAGAACTACGCATTTCGACTCTAACCCTAAGCCCCAGACCTTGAGCGCTGCTCCGTGACCCCTAAGCCCCAAACCCTAAACCCAAACTAGATTTTATGCAGTACGCTGCGGGGCGGGCCTTATGTGATGGGTCGTGGCAGCGAGTAAGCTCATTGTATATAAGTCGGGATATGGGGACTTCTAACTTCGGGGTAGGAGACTTCCAGCTAAGGCTTGGCGTCGAGGGTTTGGGTCTTCCAAAAATTGGATTCAGGGTTTTGTCAAGCTTTGGTTCAAGCAATACAGAAGCATCAAAGAACAGTAATGCTTTTCCTGCGGACCCTTTATCATAGAACAATTTCACATGTTGGAACAGTATTGTCTGAACCTCCGCTGCAGGTCGAACGGTATAATTCTACCAAACCCTATTCTACTTGTTAAAGACACTCAGAATAAGTTTCAAGTAATTGTTCCCATTGCCTGCTGGCACTATCGTTGAAGTTGTTCTCGAAGCATATGAACTCTCTGTTTTCATGCACCGTGTTACTTCAGTCGTAGTGCGGGTGCGTGCTGTGCAGCCATACACAAAGATGCCGCTATGTCAGTCTATTCTAAGGTCAGGAGCAGGGTGCTCTTAATCCAGGAACATGATGCCTCTAACAAACCGTCATAGCAGCCTTTGTACAAGCACTTGTAGAAACACAGAACCCTTTCAAGGAACCCTTTTCGAATTATGAAAGCTCCTATACTAAACCCTTATAGTACCGTATCCCTTAAGGGGAACCCTTTAAAGGAACCCTATCCTAGCTATTCGGGCCCCAATACTAAACCCTTGTGGTACCCGTACAATATCCCTACATCAGCCATTCGCGCAGCCTTCTGCTGCTCGGTCGGGCCAAGATTCCGAAGAGGGGTTTAAGGTGAGCCTGTGGGGTTTAGATTGAAATACGGGGGGGCCCAGTACTAGTTCTGACAGATCCTAAGATCAAACTGTATATACATATATATATACATATATATATATATATGTATATATATATATATAGCTATCGTATACCAAAGATTAGGGTTGTAGGGGGTGCTTGACCAGAGTTGCGGGCTTCAGGGGATGCGTGCTACAGGGTGCAGAGTCTAGGGTATTTAGGGAGCCACACTGCCCTGCCCGCGCAAAAACCGTACGGTCTAAGACCTCGGAACCCAGAACCCTAAACCCTAAACCCTAAACCCGTACGGTCTAAGACCTCGGAACCCAGACTGCGACTCATGTCCGACACGCCACTCCATCGCTGCGCCGCCGCTCTGAATGAGACCCCGGAAGCGGAGATGACCCAAAGGAGGTCCCTGAAGTTGGCTTTAGCTTGTTTTGTGTCGATTTGGGTTTTGGGTTCAAGGTTTTTAAGGTTTAGGGTTTTTAGGGTTTAGGGTTTTTCGGTGGTTCACACGAGTGTGTTGGGTTTAGAGTTGCTTCAGGCTGTATTTTGTGGTGACTTATATAGGAAAAATCATGATGGTTCAGGGTCGTCTTCAGGGTTTGGGCTCTACCTTTAGTCTCCATTGTAGTTCCTTTCTTTGGTTGACCAAATTTCTATTACAGGATCCCAACCGTAAATTTGGTTAACCAAATTTAGGAACTACAAACGAGACTATAGGTCTGCCCCGAAACCCTAAACCCGAAACCCTAAACCCTCAACCCGAAACCCTCTGGGAGGTTGCAAGTGCCATCGATGCTTCAACCTGCGGTTTTCCTTAGCTGCCTGTGTAGTTTTAGAGATGCTCAAGACCAAGACCTGCCAAGACCCAACAATAATACGGTTTAGGGTTTAGTAAACATGACAAGCAGCAGCAATAGATCACTGATATTCGTAGCAGTTTTAAAGCAAGCCGTATAGTAGTTGTAATGAAAGCCTTAGTAGTGTTCGTAGTAACAGTGATGATATGTCGTGGTATGCCATGCCTTGAGACCCCATTGTATGATGGCTCTCCGTCCTGCCAGTGTGGGTTGTTCGCTGAACCCTAAACCCTAAACCCTAAACCCTAATAACCCAGCCCAGAAAAGACTGGGTCTGTAGCGCGAAGCTTGGGGCGGTGTTTCTTTCCACATGGCTTGTGCTTGCCTTCCATGATCCTGAGGCCCTGAAGCCTAAACCCTAAACCCTAATTCATAAACCCCTAAACCCTAAACCCTAAACCCTGAACCCTACACCCTAGGCCATGTCCCTGAGAGGTCGGGAAGGGATGATGTGGAGTTTCCGATGTACACGGTGAAGATGGAGGCAGTTCTTGAGATGACGACGCTGAGACCCTACGAAGACCCTTAGCTCTCCATTATCTCACTTTCACTTTGAAGAAGGCTTCCAGCTCGTAGAAATCGAAAGGAGGAGTAGGGTTTAGGGTTTAGGGTTTAGGGTTTAGGGTTTAGGGTATAGGGTTTAGGGAGCGAGGTGACACCGAACACCGAACACGTCCGAGCATCGTCTCATCCATCCATGCACACGCCATGCGCGTAACTCTCCATTAACCCATTCTATAATCTTTTCCATCAGGCGTTGCAGCAACCCTTCTGTAAACCCTTCTACGAACCCTCGACCAAAATGCTTCCCCCCCCATGTACTGGCGGGATTCAGGACCACGGCCTACATGCTTCCCCCCAATGTATTGGGGGGATTGCGAGCGACATGACCAGAATGCTTACTCGAAGTGCCGACGGGATTCAGACATTTCGAAGCGAAAACAAGTGCGGCAAACATGAGGCCAATGTATGCATAGCAATTCCGTAATACTGGAGGATGCGGACAAGCCGGCAACCCAGACACGGTTGTCACAATTCTGAACATCAATCGTCACGGAATGGCGCGATTCAGGGGCACGGCCGACATGTTCCCCACATGCACTTGTTGTAAGACTTGCGCCGGTGATTTCCTGACCCCAAAGCCCTGCCCTAAGATTGAAACCCGAACTCCTACATTCCTACACCCTAAAACCCTAAACCTGACAAGCCTGAAACCCTAACCCTAACCCTAAACCCTAAACCCTAAACCCTAAACCCTAAACCCTAAATCCCGGACCCCAAAACCCCACACCTGCAACCCTAAGTGAGGAGATGTCTGCCATGGGGGCCCTGACGGCCTTCCGTGAAAGCTTGGGAAATGCCATCTTTAGGGTTTAGGGTTTAGGGTTTAGGGTTTAGGGTTTAGGGTTTAGGGTTTAGGGTTTAGGGTTTAGTGCCAGTGGGCCGGCTACCATCACCCCGACCCGGCCCTGGAGCAGTTTCGGAACCTCAGTCTTGATGGTTGGAACAGGGGTTTAGGGTTTAGGGTTCTTCATACAAAGCTATCGGGTATGTAACACCTATAGTTTTTGTAAAGCAGACGTTTTGTTTAGGCTTTTTTCCAGCATCATTACTACTGGCAAGGGCGGCGTTGTCCTAAGTATCCCCATTTCTTTGCGATTGGGCTTCCGATATGCTTAGGGTTTTCTGCAGGCTTAACCTTTGCTGCTTCGTTGGCGCCAGGATTTTCCAGGACGCCATGAAGAATCTCTTATCAGGTGTCAGCAACTTGGCGTTCCAGAAATCCAGAAATCCAATGTCAAAAGTAACTAGCTGCTTTTAGGGTTTAGGGTTTAGGGTGTAGGGGTTTAGGGTTTAGGGTTTAGGGTTTTGGACTTCTCTGGCGATGCCGATAAAGCTTTTTGTAAACCCTATGGAGGTAACTGCGACTCCTGCCCAAAAGCCTAGATACTAGCGGGCTGTGTCCTCTGAATTGCAGGGGATCACGCTTAACAAGCAGGTATGTATTGGGACTCGCAGGAAAACCCCAAACTGGAATGCTGCAACCGGCTAAACCCCAAAACCCATATGCCCCTCAACCCCTCGATCCTTAACCGTAATGTAGAAAGCCCAAAACCGCTTTAAGAAAGATAGACCTTAAATCATAATGTTAAGGCCCCTATAGAGCCCATTTAAATAAGATAGACCTTAAATCATAATACTAAGGCCCCTATAACTTAAGGCCGAAAGGTATATTCCTTAATTCAGGGCTATTGGGTTTTGTGGGAATGCAGTAAGCCCATAAGAGGCCCTAGACCCCCAAAAGCCCTCTCCGACCCTAAGAACTCCTAACGTGTCGCAACGGTTTAGGGTTTAGGGTTTAGGGTTTAGGGTTATATCAAGACCGATGAGTAGCAAACAGGGTGCCCTTAACACCTTAAGCCCTAAATCCCGAAACCCTAAACCCCTAAACCCCTAAGCCCCGCAACCCTCTGAACCCTGAAACCCTGACTATTGAAGAGCTACCGGGGGGTACTTCACAACCCCTGAAGCAGGTCCCCTAACCCCTTAAACCCCTGAAACCCTAAGACCCCAAAACCCTTAAGCCCTAAAGCCGTAAAGCTTTAAACCCTCGAACCTCTACACCTCAAAACCCTTAAACCTTCAGAGCTGTTCAACCCCCTAAACCCCTGAACCCCTGAAACCCTTCTAGATAAACCCTTTTGGATTTCTTAAACCCCTAAACCCTATATCTTAAATCCAAACCCCCTGAACCCTAAATCCCCCAAACCCTGAACCCTAAACCCTGAATCCCCCAAACCCTAAACCCTAAATCCCCTAAACCCTAAACCCCTTAAACCCTAAACCTTAAATCCCCCAAACCCTAAACCCTAAATCCCCTAAACCCTAAACCCATTAAACCCTAAACCTTAAACCCCCCAAACCCTAAACCCACAAACCCTAAACCTAAACCCTGAATCCCCCAAACCCTAAACCCTAAATCCCCTCCCCTAAACCCTAAACCCTGGATCCCCCAAACCCTAAACCCTAAATCCCCTTAACCCTAAACCCCCTCAACCCCTAAACCCTAAAATCTAAAATCCTAAACCCCCCCAAGCCCAAAACCCTAAACCCCCTAAACCCCACACCCGAAACCCTAAATCTTGAATCCCCCAAACCCCAAACCCTAAACCCTGGATCGCGCAAACCCTAAACCCTAAATCCCCTTAACCCTAAACCCGCTAAACCCCTAAACCCTAAAATCTAAAATCCTAAACCCCCCAAGCCCTAAACCCTAAACCCCTTAAACCCCAAACCCGAAACCCTGAATCCCCCAAACCCCAAACCCTAAACCCTGGATCCCCCAAACCCTAAACCCTAAATCCCCTTGACCCTAAACCCCCTAAACCCTAAAATCTAAAATCCTAAACCCCCCAAACCCTAAACCCCAAACCCCCTAAACCCTAATCCCCCAAACCCTAAACCCTTATAGATCTCTTTAGAGGAACCCTCATAGTACCCCTTAAGGGAACCCTAAGTAAACCCTAAACCCTAAACCTAAATCCCCCAAACCCCTAATATACCCCTATAGCTCCCTTTAGAGGAACCCTTGTAGTACCCCTTAAAGGAACCCTAAGTAAACCCAAACCCCCAAACCCTAAACCCTAAACCCTGATAGTACCCCTTAAAGGAACCCTAGGTAAACCCCTAAACCCTAAACCCCCTAATCCCTAAAACCCTAAACCCCAAACCCTAAATCCCCCTACCCCTATAGGTCCCTTTAAAGGAACCCTGATAGTACCCTTCAAAGGACCCCTAAACCCCAAAGTACACCAAACCCCTAATATACCCCTACAGGTCCCTTTAGAGACCCCTAAACCCTAAACCCTAAACCCCAAAGTACCCCAAACCCTAAACCCTAAATCCCCCAAACCCCTAATATACCCCTCAACCCTGATAGTACCCTTTAGAGGAACCCCCTATAGTAACCCAAAACCTTAAATCCTAAAACCTAAATCCTAAACCCCAAAGCACCCTAAACCCAGGTCAGGTTCGCCTCCCAATCTGCTCCGAGCTCACCTTCGGCCGCCTACGCTGCCCAAGCGCACCTCTGACGGCCTGGAGGTTTAGGGTTTTAGGGTTCCTTTAGAGGGTACTATAAGGGTTCCTTTAAAGGGATCTACAGGGGATTGAGGGTTTTAGGGGGTTTAGGGGTTTAGGGTTTAGGGTTTAGGGGTTTAGGGTTTAGGGGTTTTAGGGTTTAGGGTACAGCAGCTCTGACCTTGAAATTTTCTTGTCAAGTTATTCCAAGAAAACACCCCACCCGCCCATAGATTCCTCTCACACTAAGAAACAACACATCTACTTTTATCAAGCAGAATCGAATACATAATTTCACACAAGATACTTGAATATGGGCAAAGTCAATATCTTATATGCAGCCTCAACTTCAACATTCGTTTTTATTGCTTGAGTTTACTATACAAAGTTGTGAATATTTTAAAGACGACTAGATTTCAATATTCGTTTGTATTGCCCGATTGTCGCAATATACTTGATTGTAGACATTACTAGTCAATGTACACCCAGACGAAATCTCGGCTGGATGAGTGGTTGCTGGCGGTGGGTGGCTGGAGGCTGGAGGGCTGGGTGGCTGGAGGGGTGGGTGGCTGGAGGATGGTTGGTGGGTGGCTGGATGGGGAGGGGTGGCTGGAGGGATGGGTGGCTGGAGCTGGCTGGAGGTGGGTGGCTGGAGGGGGTGGGTGGCTGGAGAGTGGAGTGTCTGGAGGAGTCGGCGGCTGGGGTCAAGAGCCACGAGGTTTAACTGGAGACAAAAGGGGGCAGCATCAAGAGCCACGAGTGTTGATCAACTGGAGGGGGCCAGGGCATCAAGAGCCACGAGCTTTGATCAACTGGGGGGGGCAGGGCAACAAGAGCCACGAGTTTTGATCAACTGGAGAAAAGGGGCAGAAACAGCCACGAAGGGCGTCAACAGCCACGAAGGGCGTCAACAGCCACGAAGGACGTCAACAGCCACGAAGCTTCAACAGACACGAAGAGCGGACACCGACTATCATGAACGTCTGCTTCCTCTGGGTGGGATGAGCTCCAGGAACAAGCCAAGCATCAGAACAGGCTTCATGCGAAAACTGGAAAGCCGTTGTCTTGAGTACTCCGAAGACTTCCCGTTGCAGTGCTTGATCTGCGACACATGCATGGCGACGACTATCACTTCCGTCCAAGCCATCGCGGACAAGCAGAAGGTTGCTCCAGAGCAAATCGCGTCCGACATGGACAGCTTCGGCGTTTACTGGCAGCAACAGTTGCGCAAGATGGAAGACATCTGTCGGCAGGGGTACGGGAAGAATGCTTCATTGGACAAGGCCTTGCCGTCGGTTTTCTTCACCATCGCCCCGGCGGAATGGCGATATCTGCTGCACAACGGCCTTTTCCACGAGGGGCCGCTCACAGACCAGCAGCAGAATATCACGATGCATCTGTACCACACACTGCAAGTGCTGCTGGAGCACCATCTCCTGAAGAACGGCGATAGCTTGGCGAAAGTCGGTATGGCCAAGGTACGACAATGCTCGTTTCGCTTCGAGTTTCAATCTCGAGGCACCCTGCACTTGCACGCAGTTCTCTGGGCAGATCTGCTCCCAGGCTGGACCGCTAACAACCTGACCGGTCGAGCTCGCACATTGCACGGCTCAGCTCTCGTGACCTTGCTGGCGCAACTTTTCCGGAGCCAGGTAGACGTGCAGTGCGCTGATGGTAGTCACAATCTCTTGCAATACGTCCTTGGCTATGTGTCGAAGGCTTCAGACGCATTGTCCTGAGCTATCGGTTGTTGTGCAAGCGATCGCCGATGGAGCAAGAGATGAGTATGAAGTTCGCGGGGCTGCCCATGGTCAAACATTCTTTCTCCGGACATGCTCTGTTTGCTCCGATCCCTGGGAGCAGGGCCACAAACGCCTCACGAGACCAGTACTTGGTGTACCAGTTCTTGCTGCGTCAGCCGATCGAGGAAGTTGGCCTGTCCTTCATGCCATGGATCCGAGAGTTCCGTGTGGTGAATGTCGAAGCGAAGCTGGTAAGCAAACGAAACGTGGCGGGGCCCATGAAGAACACGGAATGTGGCGTGGCTATGACATTTTCTTTTGAGCCTTAGACATCTTCATTGGAGCTTGGGCCGCGACTTTCTTGCCAGACATCCTGGAACATCGACTTTATCCAGAGATCGACGAAGATGAACGATGCTATCAACTCGTTGAGCCTCTTTTGCTGCTCCAGAAGGATTCAAACACCTCAAGGCCGTGCTGTGCCTGGATCGTTTTCAGCTTTATCGGGCAGATCCTTTGGAGTTCCATCCGAACGTGGGCGAACTCCTTGCTCTGATAGAAACCGATTTGATTCTACGAGGGCTCACTGCGGACCGCGTTGCCACATTCAAGGCTCGCATCCAGGCGTGCACTCTCTTGCTGCGCGCATTCCGAGACGGACGTGAAGATTCTACTTTCTGGACAGCTCGTTCGGTGTCCGCCCCGCCAGCACGAATTTTGTCGAGAGAACAACAGCTTGTGCTGGGCCACATCCAACGAGGCGCCAGCATCAGCGACGCAGCCGATATGGAAAAGACCTTACGAGTGCTGCAGGTAGCCGGCGGCCCAGGCACCGGCAGGACAGAGGTTGTCGTCGCCGCTGTTAGACGAGCCCTTGAGGATGGTTGCCGAGTCCTGATCGCTGGGCCCATTGGTCTTCTGGTGTCGATGCACTGGTAACGGTTACGACTGCCCAATCTCCAGAACTTGACAGTGGAGACCCGGCATTCTGCATTCCGCATTGCCAGGGACGCAGATGCAGCTTACGTGCCGCCTGGTCGACTTCGTCAGTACGACCTGATTGTGCCCGATGAGGTGAGCCAAAATCGAGGCATCCGTCTGGCGAAAGCTGAAAACACCTCTGGGAGAGCTCAGGCCATGCCCTCGTTGTCTTCGAGGCGGTCCTGAGTTGGAGGCTTCCTTAGAGCGACAGCGAGAAGACAAGCAGATTCTCTATGTCAAACTGGAACAATATGAAGCAGCTCGCTCTGTTGATCCACCAATGCTGCATTTCTTGGAGGCAGCGAGAGTGGAGCAGCCATCTCGTGCAGCGTTGCGAGACTTCTTCCGTGATCGCATTCTTCCCAAAGATGTCGCTGGTGCGACTCGCGCCGCGGTAAACATCGAGGCCAACACTGGTCGGAGATTTACTTTTCTGACCGTGACCAACAAAGGAGCAGCTGACCTGAATCTGGCTCGCCTCGGCCTAGACTTCCCGGAAGCTGGCAAATTTCTGCGATCAGGCGGTGGAACTCCTGCAGATAAAGATCGCGTTGCACTGGGCTCATCATCGACAAGGATAGAGCCTTCGTCAACGGCAACAACGCGGGGTGTCTTCGTCCTTGACTCCGACCAAGGCATCCCTATCCTCGTCCATCCAGTGACCCAACGGGGAAGAAAATTTCTTCCGGTCACATACGGATGGGCCATGACTATGCGCCCAGCTCAAGGCGCTACTTTAGACAAGGTCGGGCTATACTTCGACAGAAAGTTGCCGGATAGGGGCTACGCCTACGTCGGCCTCTCTCGCGGTAAGAAAAATACTTGATGTCTTCGTGCTGCACAAAATTCGCAGGACTGACTGGCGTCCTGTATAAACGGAGAAGGCAACCTGGCGGACTGGCGGAGCAGAACCAGCTGTTTGCACTGAGCGAAAGCACAGACAGTAGCGATTTCCCGCCTTCCGATCCAGACAAATCCAGTGATAGCAGCCTGTCTAGTGGCCGAGCCTCCGCGCAAGAATCGGACGTCTCAGAATCCGACGGCTATCCGGATTTTTCATCCTCTGTCGACATCGGCTTTGAGCAGCTCAAGCGATGATCGTGTTTAAGTGATTATCCTGACCTCTGACCATCTATCGAGTCGCACAACCGCATCTGTACAAAAGTCTGCTCCTGCTCGTGCGCAACACTATTAATAAAACAGCTGCTCATTCGCATGTCTGCGGGCTGCGACTTCGTCCTGACAAACTTCTTCACGGCCAGGCCTCGTCTGCTCGACTTGATATTCGTTTTTCGAATAATACTCTTTGCGGTAGCTTATCTTTCGGCCCTATGTCTACTAGTCCCAGCCATTCCCGTCCCCACCCTCGAACCAACCACCGTGTGTCTAAACCCCAAAGCAAGCCCTAAATCCTACTACAGGCCAGAATGGACGAAGACCAGGCCAGCCGCCGCGGCTAAGGGGAGGGTCCAGGGCGGTTTGAGAGGAGAGGCCAGGGATCAAGAGCCACGAATAATGATCAAGTGCCACGAATAATGATCAAGAGCCACGAACGAATAATGATCAAGAGCCACGAATAATGATCAAGAGCCAGAGCCACGAATCCAGGGGGAGGGTCCAGGGCGGTTTGAGAGGAGAGGCCAGGGATCAAGAGCCACGAAGAGTATAAGGTTTAAATACCAATAGGTAGAGAAGTTTAGGGGTTTGGGGTGTAGGGTTTGGGAGATTTACCTTGCGCTCTTACTACCTGCAGTTTTATGGGTTCTAGCTATGTTTAAGGGGTAGTGGCTGCTAAACTGTAGGTAAAGAGAGTTACAGGTAGGGCTTAGGGTTTAGGGTTTAGGAGGTTTAGAGTTTAGGATTTAGGGTTGAAGACCCAAAAACCCCTTAATTAAGGACTATACCTTAAGTTATAGTGGCCCAAGGGGTTTAGGGTTTAGGGTTAAGAGCCTCCAAATAGGATCGGAGAACCCAATACCCCTTAATTAAGGAATAGACCTTACACTGTAGGGCCTTCATACTATGATTTAAGGTCTATCCCTCAATTAGGGGGTCTTGGGTTCTCTGTGGACGGCTCCTTGAAGAGTTCCTTCAAAGGTTCCTGTTTGAGGGCTAGCTTGAGGCTTTTAGGCTTTAGGGTTTAGGGATGTTAGGGTTTAAAGATGTTTCGGGTTTAGGGTTTCTAAGAACCCGCAGACCCTAAAACCCGGGCCTCGGATCCCGATCGAGGGTTGCTATCGGGATGGGGTGTTCCTTAGGAGCCATGTGGCATTTTCATCAGACTATGAACCCAAGGCTTCATGTAAAACATGTTGAGTGTCGGGTGCTTCTAGACTCGAAACTTGGGAAGTTTGTCAGGTTTCTGTGTTGATCTTTGCAGAAGGCTTCGTTAGATTGCCTTGCCAACAGATATTCCAATGCCCCTCTTTGGCTTGCTCTTTGTCCGGGGCTAATAATGAACGATAGTCAAGAAAAATAATAAATAAACATGGGAAATGACATATAACAATAACAAGATTCGAAATCATAATAAGCATAGTAACAAGAAGAAGAACAAGAATAATATGAATTCTCCAAGAGGCTTGGCGACCTGTTTGTGCATGGCGGCCTAGGCACGTGACTTCAAGTCGAAGGCCCTCTTCGTTTGGTACGACTATCTTTGCTGTCCTCAAGACCTGTCTCTGGGTTAAGGTTTAGGATTTAGGGTTGAATAATTTTTTGGGGGACCTGTTCCTTAAAGGAACCATTATGAAATAACAGTCTATACTCTTTTCTTCCTGGTTACTTCACAGCCCAGGTCTTCCATGGCCACCAAGCGCCGGAATGGGGCCATTCGCAGCATCCCCACCTATGTAGCAAGATCTGAGTACTTCGTCATCCTGTGCCCTCGGGTGGAGCACGTGGATGAAGGGAAGGGGATCGACCTCACAACCTGGGCTGACACTTGGCCCAGTCTGGGATCCACCTCTTGGATTCTGTGTAGTAGATTCGTGTTCCCTAGGTAGAATTAGGGACACCCTTCAAAGGGCACCCTTCTTACCCCTACATCTGGCTCTCCACAAAAAGGACATTATTGAGAGGGTCTGTATCCCCAACGGTCCCCCTAGTCCTAACTCCTGGTTTTTCTTTCCAGAAGCTGACGACAAAGACATCGCTGCACCCTCAGCCATTGACCCTGAAACCCCTAAAGCCCTGAGCAACTCAGCCTTTGCACCCTAAACCCGAACCCCTAAGCCCTAAACCCTAAGCCCTACACCCTAAACCCTACCCTAAACCCAAACCCCAAACCGTCAGGAGAGGGGCTGGTGTCGGACTGAACGGCTCGCAAGGGAGCTCTCGGCAAGAAAGCAAGGTTATAGCATCGAGATCGAAGGTCCCATGCAGCAAGCCTTGAGCGTCTCAGCTGGCAGAACTACCCTTGGGATTGACGGTGATGCTTTTCGAGGGTTTAGGGCTTGGGAAGGGTTCTGATAGAGTTTCCACACCAAACACTGCAGTTCAACAAGATCCCATGTTGCCCCCTTGTAGGCTCGCTTGCAGTGCCCCTATCATGATGCCGTTGTAGCCCCTAAACCCTGAACCCAAACCTACAGAATCCAATCAATGCATGGATATCTTCACCCTAAACTTGAGCCCTAAACCCGATACCAAGCAAGGCATGGATATGTAAACCCTACATAGACCCTTAACCCTCAATCCCTAAAGCCCTAAATCCCTAAAGCCCTAAATCCCTAAACCCCTAAAACCGAAACCCTAAACTTTAAACCCTAAACCCTAACCCTAAACCCTAAACTCTAAACCCTCAACCCTAAACCGTCTACTGTTTACTAAAGCTCTGGAACTCTCGGAGAGGATTGAGACCCATAGGGTCCATGT